TCTGTTGTGTGTGTTAAAAGAGACTCCAACTGCTGCTTTTTTCTCTCCCACTGTCCAAAGTAGGTTTTTTCTCTATTCCTTAAAAAAAAAAACCAACAAAATAAAACCCTTTGCCCACTCCGAAATTTTCCCCCTGCTGTGTGCCTTTGGTTTGTCTCATCACTTTTTTGCATCTTGCTACCATGTTTTGTATTTGCTTAGAGGCACTGGGTGCTAAGAAATTTGGTCTGCAGCTCCTCTGGGAAGTTTGGTGAGCCGGTACAGGAAGGTGATGAATGAGGCTGGAAAACATAAGATAATCAAAATGATTCAGAAATGTCCCAATATTTGTTAACATGTTCTTTAACATACTATATGCAGTGTGTATGTATATGTGCACAGCAAAATAAACCTGCTAAAATATAGTTAATTGGTGTACATTCTTTAATAGAAATTCTTCATCAGAAGAAACCTAAAATGGAAGGTTGGGAAAAAACCGAGGAATGAGAAAGACTTCATTGATAAATGCTATGTCTTTGTAGGGGCAACAGCAAGGTGGCTGAGGTGAACAAATGAAGCTTCATCAGAAGTTTGGTATCCTCAGTGTTACCTAAGAATGCTGCCATCTTGTGTTTCGGAAGCACTTTATAGTTTACAAAGGGCATTTGGAATTCCTTTTCTCATTTGATCTTGCCTTGGTCATAACTCAAAAACACCTGCTCAGTTAGAAATGTGTCCACTGAGTCTGTACACAGTTGAAAAATATTACTGAAAACATGCCCCCCCCCGGCCTGTCAGCTGGAGTCCTAAGGAAACATAGCTATGTTGAAGAGCTGGGGCCAGCATGATGCACCATTCAGCTGGGCACTTAATTTCTGAAAAAGAGGGTCATAACTTGGAAAAACCACAGATTTTACTGACTACTCTTTTCCACATTATTGGGTTTTTTCCTCCTTGAACTTTGTAAGCACAATTTGCCTTTTAAGACAATGAAAAATAATACAGAAGCCTGGGATTTGATGTAGACTTGCATATTTGTGACCGTAGTGGCACTGGTTTTTAGTTGCCCCTGTAATAAGGGAAGCACATCCAGCCAGGAAAGAAGGCAGATGTGTGCGTATTTTGCAGTGCTGCAGGCACATGAAATGATGCAGATCTTGGATACCAGGACTGACATAACTTGGAAATTTGACCAAAAGTAGTTTCTGACATTGAACAAAGCCCATTTTAAAAGGACTTTATGCATCTTTCAGGTCTTTCTTTGTCCCCCACCCCCTGCAAATTCACATTGGTAGTTTCTGATAGAGGGATACAATTAGGAAAATTACCTACATATTAAAAAATGAAATTTAAGGTATAAAAATCCTACATTTCTGATAAATTTTATGTTCACTCTTGCTTTGATTTAAATAGAGCACTCTAAAAATAGCACCCTGATGGGGGCACATTTTTATATACGTTATTTTTGTTTAGAAATTATGAGCTAGTGAAAATGACCTTGGCTACTGTACTTATCTACTATCTACTATCTATTATTTCTATGATAAAATAATACCCTTTTAATATCTGGATTCAAATGTCTTCTCTACTAATCATTCAACTTCCATACATTTCAAAGAAAGGATTTGGAATGAGTGAGAACAGGAGGCTGGAGCTTCCTATGTGCCCTTGTGTTTATGTTTATATGGAATGTTTATGCAATATTCTGACTTGGCTATAATCTATAATTCCTGGCTGTTACTTCAGTTGCAACCATAATTTTTAGATTAATGGTTATGATTTTGGTAAGAAATACATGAAAAGTTATATGTTCATGCTTGAAAGGAGGATCATTAAATATTCATTATAACCACTCAAATTAGTTGTCATGCTCTGTATAGCAGTTACCCATTATCATTTTACTAGTTTAGATTCAGCAGTAAGTGAACAGCAACATATAGCTCATATCAATAGAGGAATTTTTATTGTGGAACAGAGAGAGAAATGATTTTAAAACCCATTTGACATATTTATGTTGACAAATTATTTAAAAGAATTACTGCTTTGTCAATAAACATGTTTGTATGTTGGAGTAGGATTGTGGCTGGATTTACTTCTAGCTGTTTAATTACTCTATGATTGTAAAAAACAGTGTTTCTTCAAATGGTTATAGGAAAAAAATGAAAATACAAAGGTTGGGATATTTTAATGTTTTGCAAACACCTAACCTTGTCATGTAAAAGCACTTTTCAATTTTGTAAACAGGCATTGGAATCTTGCTTTTTCAGCAAAGTTCGATTGTATAATTTGTTAGTATAATTTTTCCTATCTAGTAACAAATCTATCCATAAGAAAAAAAAGTAAAACAAAAGGTAGATTTTTATTAATGTTGTGAGTGAAGATACATACAGATGTCTCCTCAAGCCATTTTGGAAAGATATTAAGTAAAAATAAATACAAACACATTTTAATGCAAAAACATTTTTTTTCCTCCAAATACCTTTGTATGTCAATTCAATTATGTGAAGACGTTAGGACAGCCACTTTTTTTTATTATGTTATATGAATAATTTCATACTCTTCGGTAGTTTAAATTTGTTTCTTTTCCTTAGAAACCTCATAAATTTGATTCTGATCTCATCTAACTTCAGAGATTTCTGTCTTAAAAAGTCAAATTATAGCTGATGAACACATTTTGCATTTTCCACATTGCATCTGGACTCTCCGTAATGATGGTTTATTTTATACTATTTTTTTCTACAGAGAAGAGGAAAAATATATAGGTCCATGAATCAATCTAGATAATGGGGAAGGCTGAATGTAATAAATAATACAGTAACAACCCTAAACTAATGAGCTGTTGCTAAGGTACATTTCATAGGCTCATCCTCTATATAAAAAGTCACTAATAACCCCTTGGTGTAATCAGATGATAAAGCTTTGCCATAAGGCAACACCTGTGCAATTAGAACCGCAGATTCTTTTGCACGTTTCATTAATTTCAGGCTTTTGTAAAGGCACAATGACTACGCTAATAATCTAGTCTACTTGACTCCATGTCCACCGGAAACAAAGTGTCTAATTAGATAAAGGTAATTAATTAGAGATAAATGGAGCTAATCAGGCTCAGTTAACACTAATTCTCTGAATTAAGACATTTTGGGGCACCTACTATCCCGTTGACTTTGATATTTTGCATTTAGAATGGGATCTAGAGGAGTCAGAAAATAGTGGCGTTTGAGAATTGAGCATCTGAAGCTAAAGGAGAGTTTTCTTTTATATTGTGCGACTGCACTATCTTTTTACTGCAGCTTAAATAATTCACTTTGTAGTTATTCCAATCTATGCTGGTATCCATATATATTTTAATAATCTTTGCTATCATTTTTATTATCTGTCTAGCCCACCAATTGAAAATCACAAGTTGTTCCCTCTTAAATGAAGACTTAACTTGTTACATTAAGGAAATGTCAAGGCTCATCAGACTATATCCTAAACTTCTGATACTTTAAAGAGAACAAACACCTAAAATTTTGATCCTTTAATTCTGATTCTTCAAAGAGAACAAGTCCCTCTGCTTTGCAGCATTGGACTGAAAATTCAGAGATGGGGGAAAGAGCATGGGCTGTGAAGTCAAAAGACCTGAATTCAAATTTCTGTTCTTTCTCTCACTGAATGAGTGATCTTAGACATTTAATGTCTCTGAGTTCCTTTGTTTGTAAAATAGAAGTAATACACTAACTTTACATGATTGTTGTGAACATTGAGTGAGGTAACTATTTGTAAAGTTGCTGGAATTGAACACAACCTAGCACCATATCTTGATTGACTATAAGATTAATTATCAAAATGTTACATTTTCATTTCAATTCCAAGATAATCTTTGGGCTAAATTTATATATATGGCAGGGGAGAGATGAAGAGTTTTCTCCCAAAGAGTCAAATTAGGGGGAAAAACTTCCAACAATTCTTTACTTGAAGAATGTGAATTTATCTGCTTGGTTTTTTTCTACACTGATATAATTAGCCTCTTGGTAAGTTCTTCCACAGTCCATGTGGAATGTAGAGTTTGCCCCAAAATTGAACTCTAGGGTGTAGTTTAATATGACATTTTGAATCTTCTGTAGTTTTCCTGGGATATGCCCCTTCGTCTTTCTGGTCTCTGTCTCAATTTATCTGGATTACTCCTACATTACTCCAATAGTCTCCTAACTAATATCTCTGCTTTCATTGCTTTGTCCTGAAAGTCAGTGCCATGAACTTAATTTTCCTCATAGGACACGGTCCTCCTTCTGCCTCTTGTCAAGATAGGAAGATTCCTTGTTAAACTAAGACTCTGTCATGCAGGCAGTCGAAGCAACTGTATCTAGTTCATATTATTTATTCCAGCCTTATTGTTCTTCACCACATTCATCTTTTAATGCTCTTGTCCTAACCTGAAAACCTTTCTCTTCTTCTTTTAAGATATATTTCAAATCCTGCATCTTCCCTACATCCCACTTTGGCAACCCTGGCAACACCAAGAGCATTCTCATCCCTGAAGGCCCACAGCAGCTCTGGAAGGTACTATGTTGATGAGATATCTGAGGTCAGGAGCCATACCTTATTCTCCTTGTGTGCAAGGTAAACCTTGCTGACCATCCTCTTCCCCCAAGCCCAAACTGTCACATAGTATAACCCTCCAACAGACACAGAACAAAACAATACATGGATGTAACTTACCTGTGAGGTGTGGCTTAATCTGGCCCTTCGCTAGTCAGGTTGACATAGTTTTTTAGTGACGCTGGTGCTCTTTGCCCACTTGAGGTTGGGTTCAGCCCTGGGCTGGGCCTTCATATTTGCAGACAAGGTTACTTTGATGAAAGGCCTGCTGTGTGTCCCTGGGGCTTTGTGTGCAGCTATGGGGTTTAGGCTTTTGTAACATGCAATGAGAGCATACCAGAAAGTGACCATTAGTATTTCTTTTTTTTAAGATTTTATTTATTTATTTTCAGAGAGAGGGGAAGGGAGGGAGAAGGAGAGGGAGAGAAATATTGATATGC